ATAGATAGATAGATAGATAGATAGATAGATAGATAGATAGATAGATAGATAGATAGATAGATAGATAGAGGGCACAGGGTGAGTTGAAAATGAAGGGGTCATATCTGGAGAATAAAATTAAGGGGTGAGAGAGGATTATACTAGGAGAAGGAGAAAGGGAGAGGTAGAATGGGGTAAACTATCTCACAAAAAAAAAACAGAAAAGAAAAGACTCTCACAGTGGAGGGGAAATGGGGGAAGGTGAGAGGCAACGAGTGAATCTTATTCTCATAGAATTTGACTTAAGGAGGGAATAACATACACACTCAATTGGGTATGGAAATCTGTCTTACCCTACAGGAAAATGGGTGGGGGGGAAGGGGACAAGAGAGTAGGGGAATGATAGAGAGGAGGGCAGATTGGGAAAGGGGGTAATCAGAAGCAAATACTTCTGAGGAGGGACAGGGTCAAAAGAAAGAATAGAATAAATGGTGGGTGTGGGATAGGATTAAGGGAAATAGAGTTAGTTTTTCACAGCATGTCTGCAATGGAAGTGTTTTGCATAACTGCACATATATAACCTATATTTAGTTGCTTGCCTTATCAATGAGGGTGGGTGGGGAGGGAGGAAGAGAGAAAATTTGAAACCCAGAGTTTTAAAAACACGTTTAAAAAAAAATGTTTTCACATGCAACTGGGAAATAAGAAATACAGGAAATGGGGTACGGAAATCCATCCTGCCCTACAGGAAAATTGAAGGGGAAGGGGATCAGAGAAGGGGGGGAGAGATAGAAGGGAAGGCAGACTAGGGGAAGGGGTATTCAGAATGCATGCCATCTTGGGGTAGGGGGAGGGGCAAATGGGGTGAAAATTTGGAACTCAAAATCTTGTGGAAGTAAATGTTGAAAACAAAAAAATAAATAAAAATTATCATAAAAAAAAAGAATGAATCATTCCCCAATTGATAAATTGTCAAAGGATATGAACAGGCAGTTTTTAGACAAAGGAACCAAAACTATCTATAGTCACATGAAAAATGCTCTAAATCACTACTGATTCAAATTAAAACAGCTCTGAAGTACCACATCACACCTATCAGATTGGCTAACAAAAAAGGAAGATAATAAATATTAGAGGGGATGTGGGAAAAGTGGGACACTGAGTGATTTAGAACTATGCCTAAAAAGGTATAAAACTGTGAATACCCTTTGATCCAGCAATACTGGATCAGTATCAGCTAGGTCTATGTACCAAAGACATTTTTTAAAAAAGGGAAAAGGACCTACATACATGTACAAAAATATTTATAGCAGTTCTTTTTGAGGTGGCTAAGAACTGCAAATCGAGAAGCTGCCCATGGATTGGGGAATGACTAAACAAGCTGAGTTTATGTGATTGTGATGGAATATTATTGTGCAATAAGACATGACAAGCAGGACAATTTCAGGAAAAAATCTGGAAAGACTTGCACGAAAGTGAGCAAAACCAGGAGAATGTTGTACACAGTAACAGCAATATTGTACAATGAAGAATTGTAAATGACTTAGCTGTTCTGAGCAATATAATGATCCACGACAACTCCAAAGGACTTGTGATGAAGCATGCTATCTGCCGCCAGAGAAAGAACTGATATTGTCTGAATGCAGACTGAAACATGCCATTTGCACTTTCTTTCTTTTATTCTTTTTTTAAAATTTAAGTCTTCTTATACAAAGTGACTAATATGGAAATGTTTTACATGATTGCATATGTACAAACCACATCAGATTGATTTCAGTCTCA